TTTTTGCGGTACCAGGGATTGAACTCAGGACATTGTGTTTGAGAAGCAGGCAGTAGAACCACTGAGCTAAATCCCTGGCCCAAGGGCTAGGGGTTTAGCTATGTCACAGCGCCTGCCTAGCAAGCATAAGCTCCTGAAATCGATCCCTAGGACCTGGGAAACAAAACAAAACAAAACAAAAAGAAACCTTCGCTTCAGGAGCCCTGGCCACAGGGCCCACTGTGGAAGAAGATCACCGTAAAACACTAAAGGGCCACCCACTGGAGGACTCTAATAGGCCTTCTGTTGTTTTAAGAAAGACACTTAAATATCATTTACTTTCAGTCATATTCTAAAATACAAAATCATAAGTAAATGAATGATGTTCTAAATAAGTGGCACAGATTCCACACTTGAAAGCTGTGCTACTTACATTCTTCTTAATTTTATTCTTGATTGTTTCAATTACTCCAGCCTCTTCACTTTCACATAGCTTTTCCGTAGTTTTTAAGTCATCACACGCCAACTGCATTTTTTCTTCCTCAAACGTCATCATGGCATTCTTCCAAGAAGGAAAGAATGAATGAATCAGTAACTGAAACTTTAAGCCAATTTATGATAGCAAAGCCCCAAAGTAGGGGGGAAAATCACTTAATTTCTTGCAAGTAAAAGAATCAAAATGTTATAACATACTTTATTCACTGAAAGAAATTATACTCTCATTTCGAAATAAGAATATACTCTATTACAACAACATGAAAAAAAGCACACTGGCAGATGACGTTTGCAATTATCACTCTACCATGCTTCTCCACCGTGTTATTCAACACAGTAACGAAAATACTGTACAGTTTCTGATTGGTCTGCTCCACTCAGTTTTTGTAAAAGCGTCTCACTCTATCCACAGATGGGATCTAGGTTCCATCCAGAACTACACAGAAATGCTAATGACACACAGCTAGCAAGCAGTCTTTGAAAATCATCAGTCTTTCCGGGGACAGCAATTCCCATGGGTTCACTCACTAGGAATTCATTTTATAACGTGTAGAGTTAAAACTTCCACTGATGGCTTGTTTCCAGGTGCCTGATCCTGGTGGATCTTGTGAGGGTGGGTAAAGGCAATCCTCTGAATGTCTGGTAGCACCTGTGATTTGTACCAAATAAAACTGAGGTCTCAGAGCTGAAAGGGAAACCTGGTTCTTGGAAGGAACTAATGAATTCATTGTCTCTAGTTCTCCATTTCCGATCAGGTTCCACTAAGCCCTGTCTTGGCATTCTAGGTGACTTCGGTGTGACTCAAACTGTCCAAACCAGGCCACGGTGTCCCCAGAGTCCTGCCATATTCTTCTCCCCAACCATGCTGTCAAGCTACTGAAATCTCAGCTGCTGCCTGGCCTGCTCAGCTAGGATCTTTCAGTTCAATCCTCCTGGCAGCCTTTATAGTCATGCAGGTCCTGATGTTACAATTCCTGCCCAGTATTGTTTTCTTCGGGGTGTGAACTATGCTTTCTTGCAAAGAGTGGATCATAAAATTTCATTTGTCTTGTATGGCAATAAGAAGAAATAAAGAAAGAACTTGAATGAAAACTCGTCTCACTGAGTCGGGCCTGGTACCTGTGGCAGGCACTGGCAGACTGCACGACACACTCATTTGCTGCTATTTCTCTAAATTTCCAATCTAAATGCTTTCTCCTTTTTGGTCTCAATACTTTTCCTCCCTCTCTTTGACCATTCTATGATTTTAAAGTATTATGTTTGAAGGTAATTTGTTTAGTAAGTTCTTCTGAAAAATGAAAACATTCCATTTTTCCATTGCCCAATTTACATTATTATTATTATTATTATTATTATTATTATTATTATTATTATTATTATTATTTTGGTGCAGGGGATCAAACTCAGGTCCTTGTGCTTGCAAGGCAGGTGCCAGAACCACTGAGCTAAATCCCCAGCTCTGCCCAATTTACTTTAAAACCCAGTTAAACCCTCTTCCTTCAACTCTCAAATATTAGTATTTGGAAACATAATACTAGGCCAACATACTTTAGCTCTGTTTATTGAACTTCTAGTCCATAGTCACTCAGTAATTTTACAGCAAACTTTTCTTATCAAAGGTCAGACTTTTATGCTGCTCAAACAGTTTTAATTTTTGGAGGTCTTTCATTTACACTTTCATTCTCTAGATGGTTTTGGTTGGAAAATACTTTATATTTTAAATTAGGGAAGAGAGTTATGTCCTAGCATTGATTAACAAGCAAAATTTTATCTCAGTTTTAAATTCTAAAAGATTTTCTATAATATTGTGTCTCTTCAGCCGGTAGGCATAACTGACATTACTTTATATTTGTTTCCTTCATACCATGACTTCTCCTGATATTAACTTACCAAAAAACTGACGAAGCTGGCTCCAAAACTCATTAATGGGCTGTGGTTTCTGTTAAGAAAACAACACAAGATTATTTTTTTTGTAAATTTATATTTTAAAAGTCTTATATAATCCTATTATTTGCATAGAAGTTAAGGTAATCACACAGATTAAATTACCCTGAGAAAAGTTAGAGGCAAGGTAAGCAAAAGTTACAGCTCTGTTTGTCAGGACAGAATCTGCCCTGATTCTTCAAAGCAAGGCAGATGACAAGGTCAAGGTATAAGTGACTGGTTTAGTAAACTTTCCAACTGTGGCTTTTAAGGAGTAAGCAAACGGACATCACAAAAACATGTCCAAAAGAAGATGATTATTACTAATTTTAGCGTCCAAAACATGTTCAAAACTTTCTATAGCTAAAATCTGTATCATTTCTAGAGTGGATCAAAGGATTTCACTACTGAGCCAGACCTCACCATGCAAACATCTTCAGAATGTCTCCCTAAACTATTAGACAAGCAGAGGGGATGAAGGAAAGACCAAAGGAGGGTAATGAGGAGAAAGACATGATCAAAACATGTACACCCATGTATAGAAATGCCAAAAAAGAAAAAAATCCTCATCTGTTTAAAATAGAGAGGGAAAAGCTTTGTTAAGAGTCAGTCATTCCTGCTGTATGGCACACAGTCATTATCTGATTTTACAGTAAGCTAAAGATAAAACCAAACCAAACCAATGCCAATTACTCTAAAGCATATATGAATATAAACTCCCTCCTTTAAATTCAAAATTGCACTAAAAGGAAAAGTTGTAACCATTTTCCTGAATGAAAATTTTTTACTGATTTTTGCTATGTAAATAAGATGTGGTCACTATAAAGAGGTATGTAGCCCTTTATTCAGCTGATCCTCTACTAGAAATTCAGATCACGTCCAAAATGAAAGTGTGTGCACGTGTGTACGTGTGGGAAAGAGAAAAGGAACATTTATACATTCACATAGGCACCTATGCTTGATGAGCAATGTGGACATGTGTTTTATAGGCAACACCACAATATCCATGGAATAAACTTATAGAGGTAGCATCACTGAGTCAAAGTCTATGCACGCTCATTTCTTTCTTGGAGTGAGGTATATGGGGGCGGAGAGGGACCAGCACTCACTTTATTTACAATGTTAAGTTTCTGTTATCACTTTTTCTTTCTTTCTTTTTTCTGGTACCGGGGATTGAACTCAGGTCCTTGTGCTTGCGAGGCAGGCCCGGCACCACTGAGCTAAATCCCTGGCCCATCTGTTATCATTTTTAACACATTACTTGGTGCCTACCAAAATTCTATGGTTATAACAGTTTGTTTACTCCAATGGTATGTTTTAACCAACACGGAAAAAAAGAAAAACTAAGGAGGTCAAGTGACTGGTGAAGAATCCCAAACTCACACTCTTAACTGCAAACCTAGCTTGGAGAACATGCTACTGAGGCATCTGACACTGCTCATCCGCCTCCAAGGACCACCCTGACATAACATGATGGGCCGCTAGCTCCACATGCTACCTGGTGCAACACACTTGCCTCACAGGAACAGGCACCCAGCAGACAGGAGCTGGAGGCGGAAGAGGCAGACCCACTCCAATCCAGAGCCAGTCACTAGGGCCCCTCCCTTCCTTGCTCACATGTTAACCACTCTGCCACCTCAGAAAGGAAAACAAAGCTGAAACTGGGCCTAGTGTTGCTACTTTTACTTCTTCATGACTAAAATTAGATTTCTAAGAGCCATGGCAATTAATTATTCATGGTACCTTCCCTGCCCTTATTATTTCACATAGTGTCTTATCATTCAAGTGGGAAAAAGGTACAGATCAGCCCAACAGAGACATTCTCCTCTCCTGGAGGCCCCAACTGCAACCCACACCACTCTGGCAGTGTCAGGCACTAATAGTTGCTGCTTGGAGAGCAGGTGTCCCCCATGTCACCCAGAACCGGCTGCCAGAGACCTCAGACTATCCAGGCTGGCTCATTAGCTTCATTTGGGTTTTTAGCTTAACATACTTCAAGTGATTCCATGTAAACGCGCTTCATCTTAATTAATTCTGGCCCTCACATGTGTCTCTACATGAAACATATTTGTTTTGGAGATCTGAAAATATTCTCCCAAAGTATGAGGATGGTGAATGAAAAACCAGTGCTGGGTGAGGAAAGGCAGAGGCCCTGCTCATTTCACAACTGCTCAGATTAGGAACCCAAAGATGGAACAAGGTGGTCACCCTTAAGCAATAAACAACAATGAAATGAACTATCTAATAAGTTCAAACCATATACCATGATAGTTTTAATTAAGAAAAAGAACCTCAGTTGTCATGGAGGATCTTACGGAACCAACTTATTTTGAAAACAGCTGTTAGAAAGTATAAGCATTTGTCCTGCCTCTTCGCTATGAACTTAGGGCAGTGGTGGTGGACCTATGGCACGTGTGCTGCAGCAGGCTGTTTATATCACGAACACTTCAAAAGGTTCGCCATCACTGAAGAGGAACCAGCTGGTGTGGGGGAGGGGAGAGTTTCTCTTTCCAGAAGCATTCTGGACTCATAAATGAAAAGCAAGTGACAGAACTGGATTACCACCACGGTGCAGCACCTGAGGAATTAATGGACATCGGCTACAATCATTAGGACAGGGACTGGAAGAGATGTTATGCACCACCAAGGAGAAAGAATCAACAAAATCCAAGTTGCAGGAAACTCTATAGGACAAAGAATCTAGATTCTTCAACAATAAAGAATTGCTAGAGGAAAAAAAGAATCTAGAGGGAGACCTACAATAAGACACATCAAACAACAGATGCACAAAAAGACACTCATTAAGAAACATAAAAGGGCTGGGGATTTAGCTCAGTGGTTCCACTGCCTGCCTCACAAATGCAAGGTCCCAAGTTCAGAAACTCTATAGGACAAAGAATCTAGATTCTTCAACAATAAAGAATTGCTAGAGGAAAAAAAGAATCTAGAGGGAGACCTACAATAAGACACATCAAACAACAGATGCACAAAAAGACACTCATTAAGAAACATAAAAGGGCTGGGGATTTAGCTCAGTGGTTCCACTGCCTGCCTCACAAATGCAAGGTCCCAAGTTCAATCCCTGATATATACACACATATACACAGACACACATACAACAAGAAAATGAGAATTAAACTTATTCAAAACAACATCAAAATATTACTTACTAAGAATAACAAAGATGTGAAAAATACCTACACTGAAAAAACTCAAAATATTGCTAAGAGAAATTAAAGATCTACATAATAAGGGTTTTCAACAGGGTCATTCTTAATATTGGGGGCTGGATAATTCTTTTTTTTTTTTTTTTTTTTGGTACTGGGGATCGAACTCGGGCCCTTGTGAGGCAGGCACCAGAACCACTGAGCTAAATCTCCAGCCCTGCATAATGCTTTATTGTGGGGCTGTTGGACCCTCACGGGATACCAAGCAGAGGTACAGATGAGGCTGGTTGTGACCTGATGATTACATGGCCCTGTGATAACACATGGGGTGGATTCATTAAGCTCTTCTATGTACTCCAGAAGGCGTGCTGCACTCCGGATGTGGCTTGTCCCTCAAGGCTCCGTGTGTGGAAAGCCTGGTCCCTTGTGTGGTGATAATGTGACAGTGTGGACCTTCAGGAGTGGGGTTAGTGGGGGTCAACTGGCAACATGTGCTGGAAAATGACTAAGGTATTTCTCACGGATCCTGATCATCCTTGCAAGAGAACTGTCATAGAAACCTGAGCCTGACCCCACACAGTCCTCTGCCTCCTGCCACTGCTATGTGCTATGATGTAATGAGGCCGAGGTGGGCCTTCATCAGAACTGAGGTGGTGCCAAGCCCAAGCCTTTGCACTTCCAAAACTATGAGCAACAAACCTCTTTACTTTATAAGTTAGCCTGTCTCAGGTGTTTCATTATAGTGATAAAAATCTGACTGGTACAGAAAACTTCCAAGATAAAAAGTTAAAAAACATACACATAATAACATTTCCCAAAGATAAGATGCATTGTATTTTGGAATGCTTTCATGAGAGAGCTTCTTATGATCACCACCATAGTTTATGAACCATCATTAATAAAAGGACTTTGATTTTTTCATTCTGTATAATGAGTCATCCATAGATAAGAAATCTGTTGACAATAATACAAGGAAGCAATTTATTATCTATTCCTATATTCACCAACATTGCTGGGAAATTTTTAAAAATTTCTCCAGGATATCAAAAATTGGACAAGACTGCTTCCTGCAATATAGTTGAATGTCTACATTCCAATGTAGGGTGTAGGATTAAATGTAGGATGTCTACATTTAATTCTTAAAGGAACATCTCTCCAGTAGATAAGTGAGTGTAAACAGTCCCTAACTGAATATTCTTTCTCAAATGCAATTTTATGGCTGATGATTATGAATGGCTGGAAATTTTCAAGTCTTTTTACTTTTCTGAAAATGTTCTAAATTTATATGTTGAGTTCTTAGAATTCCCCATGACCTTCTCCCCGCAAATGCACGGAGAGTACGGACTCTTGTGCACTACACAGTAAAGCTCATCAGCCCATAGCCGCCATCCTCATTTTCACTGCAGCTGTGAGACACCAGATCCAAGGGCTGAAGAAAACTCCATGAATTCACCCCTGCTGCTCTTAGAAAAGCTCTGTCTTTACTGTGACCCATAGTGTTTTAAAAATAATTGCCCCAGAGGATCACTGAAGTTAACTTCATATAATTAGAAAAAAAAAATGGATTGCTTCTCCAATGCCTCTGACCTTGCTTCAGGAGCACGACGTTTGCCAACAGGATAGGAGATATCCTTGCCCTGCCTGCTATCATCAAAGCAGGCTTCAAGGGACCAACTGGTCTGACATTTCCTTTTTCTTTTCTGAAGGTAAAGTGGAACAATGCCATCAGGGGAAAGAAAATCTATGCAGATGAAGCCTTAATTGCAAAATTATCCAGGGTCAAAAAAAAATGGGTTTAATAAACCACACAAAGGAACAGCTTCATGACAATTGGATTTGGCAATGGTTT